GTTGATGATGATGATGATGATGATGAACATATATGATTTGATGATGTTGTTGTTGATGAACAAATAGGATTTGTTGTTGTTAATGAACAAATAAGATTTGTTGTTGTTGTTGATGATGATGATGATGAACATATAGAACATATTATTTTAAACAAATCTGTTATAGTTGATTTTAAAGAGATAAGATAATAGATCTATTCAAATAAGGTGGAAAATTGGATGGATAGATAGACAAAAAAAATTAGACAGATAGAATTTTATTTAGACAAATATTTAAATAGATAAGGGAAATTTGAATTAAAAAGGTTAAAAAATTAAACAGATACTGTAAAAAATTTGAATAGATAAAAAAATTTGAATAGATAGGGAAAAAAATTTGAATAGATAATCAACGAAAAGTCAAACAGATAAAAAAAAAAGTCAAGTGGTAAAATTAAAAACAAAATGTCCTACAAGACTTCTCACTAAACTATTTCACAAAACGTGGACCTCTCACCAACAAAAAAATATCTACTAGATCTAATACCTTAGATACTTTTTAAATTAGATTTATCACCAATTTTCTCTTATTTTTTTGTAATTTTTTTTAATTAAAAAACTAATGTACTTCATAATTGCTAAAAAATTATTTTTTGGAACCTTCTTAAACGTTTTTTTTTCAATTACCAATTATCTGTATATTATTGTGGAACCCTTGAATTTTTGAAAATATTGAGGGTGGAATCGTCTTCTCATAAATTTATTTAAAAATTATTTTTTTCTTGAGAAGGTTTTCCAACTGAGTAATACTATGAATACACCCTTATCAATATAGAAATTATCAAAATTATTATTTTATAATTCAAATTTATTCTACACATGAATCTCACACCACACAAATTCAATAACAATCACATAACCTCGAAATAAATTCAGAAAAGTTACGGAGAGGTAAATAATTATTTTTCCCCACCACACTTATCTGTCCTAATAAATGGACTTATTGTTGAACAAGTCCTGCGATAATTAATGATATTTTTTATTAAACACTATTAAAAAATGTCACTAATTATTAATTTTCAACGATAGTTTGAAAATTGACACAAAAAATGTCACTAATTATAAGTTTTAGTGATAGTTTAAAAAAATCGTCACAAAACTTTAATTTTACAATTCAATAACTAGAATATTTAAAACTCTTTGAAAAGTCATAATAAAAACACAAATCACTAAATCACCTGATTTCACTAGCAAAGTTTTTACCAACGAATAGTGTCATCGTCGCTAAATGTTTAACTCTTTGCCCACGCCAACTAGTCGTCGCCAAAAGTAAGCACACTAATAGCGACGCTTATTGTGTTGTTAAAAAATAAGCTTCGTAGCTAAAATTTTTGAAATTTTGGCGCCAACCAATAATTTTGGCGCCTAGTGAATGTTATAATTTTTTAGCGACGATTGTAAATTGTGTCGGTAAAGGTCTACTTTTACCAACGAAATTGATCACTGCGTCGCCAAAAATATAGTTTTGGCTATGAAAAATTGACATCGTTGCCAAAAGTAGTCGCCAAAAGTGCAATTTCTTGTAGTGGACACACTTACACCTCCTATGTGTTTATAATTTTTTTACCTAAATCCCACCTGCATGTAGTTCCCCATTGTTAAAAGTAATGTTTATTCTCAATTTTTCTCTCTTCTATGTGGCACATTTTTTTTTCTTTTTTGTATTTATTAAAAAGCCACATCAATATATCTTTTTACCAAATTCATTTTAAAATTTAATATTTAAAAGACTTCTACTTAATCTAATTACCCATAAACAAAACTCAATAGAATTATACATACGAAAAACATTTTACCAATTAATTTTATTCTACATTTTTCACTTTTTTTTTAAAAAAATAAATATAAAAAATATTTATTTTTATGAAAGTTATTATATATATATATATATATATTTATGTAAGTTACATTTTTATAACATGATAGAGCTAAAATTATTAAAATACACATAAATAATTTATTTAAAATTAGTATATATGTTGATTTAAGTAATGCTTTTATGGAACGATACAATTAAAATTATTAAAATAATAATTAGAATCATTATTTAAATTTTAAATTATTGCTTCTTTTTTTTTCCAATTTAACAATTATTTTAAATATTTTATATATTCAAAAATATAAATAATTTAACTAAATTTTATAAAAAAAAATATTTTAAAACAAATATATTTAGCCATGCATAACTACTAGTTGTATTATTATTTTAATACTTTATTTAATTGTTCCCATCACAGATTTAGGTACAGCTGAATTGTAGTGACTTTAATTATTATAATGAACTAGGATTCATTTTGGATTCAATGTGACTATCGTAAATGGCTCAAATTTACAGAAAATAATAATAAAAATAATAAATTTAAAGACTGGAAATAGAATACATTTTGTATGTAATTGTGGTGGATAAAAATCGAGCCACCTAGCTGCGGCCGTGCTCCGGCGTATCTCGAACTCAATTGAACCTAAAAACACTCGAAGAAGATGACAGAGGACTTTCCGATGCTAAAATTTGTGAGTTTATAAGCAAAGGAGCAAAAACACGAGTGCAAGTGTAGTTAGGATTGATTGTCTACTTGAATGTTGTGTGTTCCTCTTTTTTATATCTTGCTCTCACTAGTCGTTGTGGGCAACCCCACTTCTTGTGGGATCATGTTCTACTTAGCTAGGCCAAGAAGTTAGGACCATGCCTTGACTAAAGTTTGGCCTTTCATGCCGCACTTCCTAAGAAAAATGCTTGGGAGCACTAATTAGTGCTCCCACTAATTAGGTGGCAGTGGATCCCGTCATTAATGATGTGATGTTTTGGTATTGGAGTTGTATTTTTTTTTTTTTTACTTTTTTAATGCATTAGTGCTATTAGTGGTGATATTTTTAGTGGGATGAATCATTGTTGTACTTCCTAATCCGTCCTCTAGACCTAGATACCTAGTCTTGGTTCTCTAGTCTGCTGAATCTGCTATTCTGGATCTGAACTTCTGGTCCTGCTATTCTACCGGTTGGGCTTCATACTGTTTCTTCTGCTCTTGCCCAATACAACCACTCTAATTTAGCTCAGTTTTTACTTCCCACAGTAATCTTTTTTTTTTTTTTTTTTGGAAGAGTAATGTTATCAAACTAAAAATCTTACAAAATTTTCAAATTTATTGATGTGGTGGCACCCATCAATATATTATTAAAATGAGTTATGTTTCAATTTCTAAAATTATATTATTGCATAACATATTAATTAATAAAAGATTTTAAAAAGTTTTGTTTTATTAAAGTGTGTGTAGTAAAATTTCTCAGCCAATTAGAGCGATAGGGTAGACTTTGATGTATTCTAATGGAGGGACTAAAAGAAGTCAAAATCAGACTACGCCTGCTCCGAATTTATAAGTCAGTGGTGTTGAATAGCCGTTGCCTATACAGTATGAGAAATTGTGTGTAACACATTAAGGACTTGTTTGGTTTGATTTTGGGAGAAATTTTTTGAAAATATATTTTATAAATATTTTTTTAAGAATAATTAATTCAAACAGATTTTTTCAAAAAAACTCTTAGAAATGTGTTTGGTTATCTAATTTCTAGGGTTACTTTTGAAACATATTTGCAAAAAAAGCAAACTAAACAAGTTTTTGTAATTTTATCTCAAAAACTACTCTACAAAAAGGCAAACCAAACAAGTTTTTGTACTTTTTTATCTCAAAAACTACTCTATAAAAAAAAACCAAAGTTGTTTTAGAGAGAATATTTGAAAAAAGACATACCAAATAAGTTTTTGTACTTTTTATCTCAAAAACTACTCTACAAAAAAAATCAAAGTTATTTTAGAGAGAATATTTAAAAAAAGACAAACTAAACAAATTTTTGTATTATTTATCTCAAAAACTACTCTACAAGTACAAACCAAACACACCCTAAGTTTTTCTAGAAGCATTGTTCATACAGTATACTTGGTGAATTCTCACAAGTTCAAGAGATTCTAATTAACTGTTCTATGCCAACTTTGGCTTTCCATGTACCAAAATTATTTAAAAAAATTATAAACCGATACAAAATGTTCAAAAGTGTCAAAAAATAAAGTGGATAATGTAGATTTAAATTTATTAAGTGCACAAAAACATTTTCATAAAATCGGACATAGAAGAAAGATAAAGAGGTGAGAAATTTCATAAACCTAGACACAAAGGAGAGACAAAGAAGGGGAAAGTTCACATTTTTCATTTAATTTTTCACACTATCCTTCTACGAGGTCAAAAAAATTATGAAATCTTTAAAATGAAATGGAAATATTATTGCTGTTAATAATTCACTTTGTTCAATAATAAACTAACTGTTGTATGTTGATCTATGTGGTGTTTTAAATACGAGGTTGTTATATATCACTTCTTTTTTTTTTTACTGTTTTATATCACCAAGTTTATAGCACTATATTATTTGTTGTCATTATTTTTTTAATAATTGTTTCCAAACAAAGGACCAAACATGAGTATCCATATATAGGTGGTGGTAACACAAAATGGTGTAAAAACAAGTGATGCATAGTATTTGTTTTTTTAAAATGTTTACCATAATGTATAATATTATTTAGTCGAAATATAATGACATTTTTAATATTATTATTCACTGATATATTAGTCGATATCATCTAATATAAACTATTCGTATCACCCATATATATATATGTCAAATAAAACCATACAAAAAAAATAGGTCTATTATCATAAAAAAAAATTAGGCATAGCTGACATAATAAACATTAATTGGGTAGCAAACCAACGAGGAAAAAAGGGAATCCACAAGTGGTAGACTTTTGCTTGGAATAAAAGAAATACAATTAACAATACCTTTTTACATCAAATTTTCAATCTCTTACCAACCAACCCAACTTAGGAAAATGGTTGGCATATGTTCGGCTGCCTAAGCTCACATTTGTTTTCTATCTTTCAGACCTAAAAATTCCTATATAAACCCATTAACTCACACTTCATTTGCACCATCAATCTAATATTTCATTCTCAATTTCTCAAGTACCAATCGAGAATTACGTCAAGAATGGAGATGGGTTTGAAGCAAACTCAAGGACTCATCCTGATGCTAACTGTTGCTTCCATGCTAACAGTTAGTATGGCCAACAAGAACTTCACTTGGAACTATGGCTTTAACTACACAGACTGGTTTGGGAAACACCGTAATGATACCGGAGGATCCAACCGGATCATCGTTGGCGGCTCTGCCAACTGGCAGTTTAACTTCAACTACACTGACTGGGCTCTCAAAAATGGTCCATTCTATCTCAATGATACTCTTGGTAAGTTTTTATATATGTACACGTTTTTAGTTACTGCTGTCATGCATGGGATATAGTGGTCATCAATTGAGGCATGTTTTTGCTGAAATTTATGGTTTGAAATCTCCTTTGTTGCTATAAGTATTGCAAAACAAGTTTTTAGACTGCAGTGTTGGCAATATTACTACGTTGCATACTTCTTGAATGGGGGGTTTATATTTGATAAAGATGAATTTAGGAACATAGAATTAAGTACATAATTAGACACATAAAACACATCAAATGACAGGATTTTACTATATTTATTGGTCGGACCCACTTTTAAAACAATTCTATCCATCACATGTCTTTTGTGTCCGATTCTATGTTTCTATATTTACTAATGTTGCTGCTACACTACATTTTGAAATTTTTATTTTATTTTTTGGAAGAAAGGCTAAATTATATTCATGATCCCTGTACTTTACTTCTTCTGTCAATTTTGTTCATATAGTTCTAATTTTATTAATTGTGCCATTTAATTTTTCATAATGCGTCAATTTAGCCTAATTCATGGCATCTATTAAAAAATTAGACAAAATCAAGGATAAAATTAAAAATTGAATGAATCATTTCAAATTAACGGTTAATGCATCAATCATTTTGAAAAAAGTGAATAAATATTTTGACTCTTGATTTTAGTTTCATTTTTAAAGAGGCGTGATCAATTAGATTAAACTGACATAATGTGGGAAAAAAAATAAAGAATAAAATTAATATAATTAAAATTACAGTAACTAATTGACATAAAAGACAAGCTAGAGTAACTATGACTGTAATTTGTCCTAAATTGTTTTGTAAGCATCCCATGCAGAGTAAGTCAAGCAAGTGCTCATGTTACATTTTGTGTGGCATATTCATTGTTTCACATTAGAAAACCATGCTATGTATGACTCTCTCAAAAACATAAGATTGAGGCAATCAACATTCAGTTCTTCTATTTGCACAGAAATTACATCTGATTCTGAGATTGATTTATGTATTTCTACAAATTATCATCAACTTTTGTATGATGGTAATTAATTTGATGGTTGCAGTGTTCAAGTATAGTCTTCCCGTCGACAACAACTCACACCCTCACAGTGTCTATTTGCTACCAAACTTTTGGAGCTTCATAAACTGCGATCTGAGCAGAGCCAAGAAGTTGGCAGACGGAAATCAAGGCGGTGGAGCGGGATTCGAGTACAGGTTGACGAGGTGGCAACCATACTACTTTGCTTGCGGTGGGGGTAATGGCTTTCACTGCAATCAGGGATTGATGAAGTTTTTCGTGATGCCGCTGTTTCGCCGTTGGCATGGTTGATCTTGCTGGAGCTGGCTTGGGAAGATGCAGTGCTGCTGCCTGGAATATTTTTAACTTTCTTGTTTTCTTTAAACAAATAATGCAATTTTTTCTTCTTTTTTTTTTTCTTTTTGAATTTCTTTAGTTGAAATAAAGTTTAAGAGAGCACTGAATAAATGTATTCTTGACTTGTATTGAAATTGAGACTTGATAACCTTTAATGAGTAGTACCATTCTTGGTATCATTTTATTTTGAATATTTAAGTAACAAAAATTATTCAGTAAGTTTGTAATATCGTATTATATTATTTATATGATTCTTTAAATTAATAATGTAGCAAAAAAATTTATAATAGAACATACCGACTCATCTTTATTAAATAGTTTAAGTAACAAATCATCCATCACTAGAAACTTATGTAGTTTAATAAAGTTACTATTAGGATTTCATTCCTAATGTAGCATTTATGGTTGCCTTAGTTTGCATTATAATTGATATTTCGGTACCGGTTGGTTTAGTTTTTAAATTAATATTTGGATCAAAAAACATATTTGATGTATCAATTTTTAAAATTATTTTTTCTTTTCTCTCTCCTTTTCTTTTTTTATTAATAAATTAATCAATCATATTTTCTATCTCTTCTCTCATTCTCTCACATTTTACACATCAATTAATCAAATTTTCTCTCACACCCATCTATTCAACCAAAAATTATGTAATGGTCTTGAGATATTGTCACATGGTGTCACAACTCAATATGATTGGTTAAAATTATGGAACCCAGTACTTTTTGTTAGGTTAGTAGGAGACAACTTGACAAATGTCAAGTATGTAGTGGTGTGGAGCAATACTCCTAGGCCACCCAATAACCTCTCCTATTCAATTACAAAAAAATAAAAAATAAAAAACTACAAATCAACCTAAAATTATTTTCAAAATTTATAATTAAATAAATTTTCAATTTTTAAGACTCTTTTCAACCGCTTATCTTTCAAAAAAAAAAAAATATATAATCTTTTCAAACTCTTATCTTTCAAAAAAAAAAAAATATATAATTCAAAACTCAAATGTTTTTTAAAAAACTAAACCAAAGGAAGTCTGTTTAATCAGTGGAAAAAGAAAAGAGATAGAAAGTCAGTTATAACTTTTTTGGACATGACCAGCATGAAGCAAAAGTCTCGTTGATTGAATTTAAGCTTAGGTTATCGACTCCTACACCGCTATGCCAATAATTTCGCTTGTTTTCTTCTTTTCTGTTCTTTGATGATTTGAATTTGCTAACACTCTGATATTTGAGTACTCTCTTCATTTTGCTTATCTAATTTAATTAAAGAATATTCCAATAACACTACTTATTTTAACTAATGAATCAAATTAATTTAATTAATTTATTAAATATTATAAAAATATAAATAAAAATATATAATTTTTTATAACATATCACATATGCACCTATTATTGACGTGATTGTTGATGTAGTATTTGTAAGGATTTATTTTCTAAAAATATATTATTAAATAATATTTTTACATAATTATTCTTAAATAGAAAACGAGATGAAGTCATACTTGATTTTTGCAAGAACTTATAATTGGAAAGCTAGAGAATGAATCGGGCAGGGAGAAAGGCCTAGCTTCCAATGCTAGTGTAGATACTCCATTTTTGACCGACCTTAAGACTCAGACGTCACTGATTGAACACTCGGTGATATTGCATATTGCGCTCGTTCAGAAATTTCAGAGTCCCGGCTGCAAGCTTTGCCTCCGGACTTCCGGACTCTTTCGTGCCTTGTCTCGGTTTGCGAACCAGGCTCTGTTTTCTCTTCCCGAAGGGAGAGAGAGGTCTCGTAGACCGATGTGAATTTACTACTTTGCCCCTGCTTATATATAACATATGCGTGTGTGTGTGTAAGGTTTTGGCTGACCACACTCACACACAACACACACAGCCACTCTCTTCTCTCTCTCTCTCTCTCTAGGGTTTCGCCTCCTCTCCTTCGCCGATCCTCCCTCCCTCCCTCGCTCCAATCCTCCCTAGTTTGACGGCGCCGGTCCTCCATCCCTCCCTCGCCGCTGCTGGTTGGAAGAGTTTTGCCTCCCCAGATCTAAACAGTGACTCTACCCCAGATTTGAGCACCGCGATGATCGCACCACCGTGATGGCTTCTTTGTGTTTGCTGCTGCCGCGAACTCTTAGCCATGGCTTCTTCGTGTTTGTTCTCAAGCCGCAACAGTTGCTCGGCTCTCCTCTCCAACGTAATAGATATACATATATATATACACACACTGGCTGTTGTTGATGTTGATGTTGAGGATGATTGTTGATGAAATAGATTTTTTATTGTTGAAACATAATTTTTTTGTTCTGATTTTAAATTTTCTACATATCTATGATGATGATGACAAGCAACAGTTGGGATAAAATTTTTTGGTTCTAAATTTTGTTCTGATTTTAAGCGTAACATATATACATATAATTTTTTATTTAAAATTTTCTTAACTCTTAAATTTTTTTGTTGATGTTGATGATGATGAGATGAAATTGATTTTTTTTTTTTTTTGGGGAATTTACGAGGTCGGGGAAACCCGATCCCCGTTAAAAGTTAGGGGGCAGGGGCAGGGGCAGGAATGGTGGTAGGGTCCCCGTTGGGGATCAAAGTCGGTGTAGACCGCCCGAACTCTGCTCCGCGCGCGAGGGCGCGAATTGTGATTCTAGCTACTACAGTTCGGACTCCTGTCACGGTTCTGAGTCTAATCTCACAAAGTGCAATGTAAGACTGATAAATCACCAAAGAATCCAAATCTAGCAATCGGTTTTAGAAAATCGATTTTAATCAAAAAGCGCCAAACATGGACTGCTTTGCCAGATTTCAGAGTCGCCATGTTTTTGAAAAATTTAGGAAACCCTGACTCGTGCCTAAGGCCACGTGTCCGTCATCACCAAAGTTGCCTCGGTTGGAGAACTTGGGTACGAGAGGAGTAGGTCCTGAAATGAGTATCCCCACTCGCCCGATCAAAGATCGGCCTCTACTAATATGATATGTTATTTTTGAAAACACATGCGTTCTTATTCCGGTTATTAATCTAGAATTACTATGTGATGCGCACAGCATATAAGTATAGACTAAAATGCTCGATTTGGAACAAAACATCTCACTTTTGTTTTCGAAAATGGTTTGAAGGTGCTACTCGCAAGTAGGCTAAGACGCGGATTTTGCCACCCTCAAGTGGGCTTAGAAAACAAGGTGATTTGCCACTTCAAGTGGGCTTAAAACTCACATTTTGATGAATTGTTCCAATTCAAGCAATGAAGCCATCATCCACAGGCATTCATGCAGTTAATCACTTAAGCAGTTAGCCTCATGGCAAGCATGCTATCATGGCAGTCACTTACATACATGCAAGGATACTAGAGTATAAACACTCACAGTGTACTCCAAGCCAAAAAAAGAAGCTAGTTAGTAATCAATGCATGATCCTAGCTATGTTAAGAATGCCTAATGCAACACATGCGAAATGCAACTAAGATAGGCTTAGCTATTCTAAGATGTCATGTGAATGCGACTTGATAATATGTATTCAAATTGGTATTAAAATACAATGCAGTTTGTATGATGCGCCGAGCCCGGTGCATGCAAGACAGATGAATGATGCCCGCATGTGAAGCGTAAGTATGCTAATTGAAATATGTCTTAAAACTAACCACTAAAAGTGGATAAGTAAAAGGGAGAAAGAAATAGGGGTTGGAAGACATGCATCACACATATGCACACTTATTACAACAGTTGTGCCCTCTCGACGGAGGGTCCAAATAATAAGCTAACTAGCTAATCTAAGCTAATTAAACTAATTATTACAAAACAAAGCTAATTAACTAACAAGTTAACTAATTATTACAAAACAAGGTAATTAGCTAACTACACTAGCTAATTAAATACAAATGAATAGCTAATCGCCTTAACTACTTAAGTACAAAAACCAATGCATTAGCTTGCTTAAGCAAAGCAACTAAGTAAAGCAAATAGAAGGGGCCTCAAAGCATGCTAAAATGACATGTCACAACATGATGCATGTTAGGCTATTTCATGGGATTACACTACATGTGCAAGGAGCATGCAAAGGCTAACCAAACCAAACCTAAACAGAGGTGTGACATGGTAAAACAAGCCTAAAAACATGCTGAAATGGACACAACATAGGCTAGAATGAGATGCTACTTCATGAAGCATACAAAGCTAGTGTGTGATTTACATTACAAGTGTATAAACCATGCATGGAGTGACCAAACTAAGCAAAAATAGTGGTATGCCACAGCAAAATAACCACAAATAAATGCTAAGAACAAGCCAACATACACTTAGTAAAGATGCTCAAACATGAGGCTTTCAAAGCTAGTAAACAAGACACAAAGGAGAGGGGATGACCCTCTCCTATTTAGGACACCAAGACCACCTTTCTACCACTGAAAATCCTCTGGATTTCAGTGGTAGAAAGGTCATGCAAAGGGTTCAACAAGAGCCTAAAGGTGTGGCTCAAAATGAGGCCTAGCAAGGCCTAAGAGGGGGTAAAACACCCCAAACGAAAAGGTGACCTAAAAAAACTATTTTAAGCACTTAAAAATGGAACTTTTTCTAGTTAAGAGTTAAGCTTAAAAACATATTCAAGAAGGGATAAAAGCTTAAGCAAGAAAATGGGTTTTAAGGCTTAGATACTCACCATTGTAGAACCTCTTTGTAGCTGTAACTCCAGCAGGTTTTTCAAGGTCAAGGCAACCCAAGAACACCAAGATCAGCCCCTAAGCACCTCAGTGGCAAAAGGATGGTGTTTGAGTGTGTGTTTGTGTGTTAAAGTAAGACAAATCAACACTTTAAGGCACAAAAATGAAGCAAAAGAGTGATATAGAGACAAAGCTATATCTATCCTCCTCCCATAGATTTTCTGAACTTGGAGGAGGGAGAAGGAGCCTTCCTCTTATAGAAGAGGAAAGGCAAAGCTTCTAGGAGAAGCTAAGCAACAATGTAATCCCTCCATACACGTGTATGGAGGATGGCCCTAATGTCCTCCAGCTGTGCCAACTAGAGGAAAATATCTCCAAAAAGGTGTCAAAAAGCAGTCGACCACTTGAAGTGGTCGGCCTGCTAGTAAAAGTGGTCGGCCGACCACTTTAGGTGGTCAACCAGAGCAAAAACTGGTCGGCCATAGGTGAGAGAGGTCAACACACTAAATGCAAGATGGTGGCGTGGTGGTCGACCAGAAAA